GTTGGAATATGGGAACCAGAACTGCTACCTGTATCTCGCAATCCAGCTAGGAGCGGTCAAAATTGCCAATTTCACAAAAATTTCGACTTTTATTGCCTATAGAAAGGTGCCATGGGTTTTTGGCCGCATGGATGGTTATTGGTGCTGAGAATCAAAGAACTCTAAGGAACAAATTGCTAGCTAAATCAAGATTCAAAAGTTTGCTTACGAACCAGGGTACAGCACCGTGATATGTGAAATGGTGGTCAGTACGACCCCCCCCCTCCTTCCCCAACACCTACCTACCACTTTCCTACACGTTCCAGCTTCCCTGCCTGTTTTTTCCGAAATTTCCCACATTTCCCAGTTTTTTTTCACCCAAAAATTTTCCGTCGAGCGGAAGGGGGGGGGGTAAATAGCCAATGTGAAAAAAGTCAACAACCGGAATTCCCAACGCGGCGAATTACTCTCGAAGGCACATACGACCACCCCCTTCCAGCAACGACCAAATACGACCCCCGCCCTCCCCCGGCGTCCACGAGCCCCATGTGTTTCACACAATGATGCTGTTCCATGTTAGGAACCATCAAAGCATTGCACCACCGTGGAGCGGGCTTCTTACGCCCAAACCTTGCGAGGTGCAGGTAGCACCTTCGCTCTTCCTAATTGAAACCATTCAACTCATGGACATACGTCCGAGTTTCCATACGAACTTCCATGGGACTCCAAAAATATTTCCTGGTCAGAAACGCTGCCTTCGACGTAAATTCCTTCACTCATCAATCCATCTCAAACCCACCCAAACTCTCAAAAAATGTTGACCGGGCGGGTTGGGGGGGGGAGGGAATGTGCATACGATCCGCTTACCAGAGAGGAATTGGGCGCTTCCCACTAGGCTGAAAAACAGGAAATTCTTTGGCTCCAGCCTGTTCCTAAATTTCCGTGTATTGCCCTGGCGTACATCGCCATCCAAGGTCAACGCACAATTCTTCACCTTCCCGCAGTCGTTTCTTTGGCAAACCTTGTCACAGGGCGTGAGCGTTCCGTGAATCACCTGTCAGGATAAAAGGCCTGATTAATGAGTTGGGCATGCGTTCGATAGGTGAACACTTGGGGAGCAAAAATGCCCCAATCTTTGCCCGATTACACTTCGCAAAATTCACGAATCGTTCCCCAGAGGCTTGACACTTTTTTGAGTCGACCTTTGGTTTTTTGAGTGAAGAGTCGTCAGGGGAACGGAAATCTCAAGCAAGTTAAATCTATGAAGGACGAAAGGACAGAGGAAAGAGAAAATCGCATCAGTAGAAAATGGAAAAGGGGTTACTGAAAAGAAAGTGAGCGCGGATAAAAACTCCTCGTCACTTGTCTTTTTTTTGAATGGACCCCCTAGCTTTCCTGGAACTATCAGAGATTTCTTCATATCAGTTACGATAGCTTCGCGTTGGCATTACAGGGCAGGGCTTATTGAAACACTTGCAACCATCTGCGAAGTAGTCGCCAGTGGTGATTCAGCCCAGGGCAATTGGAGTTTCCAAATGGTAACATGAGAAAAAGGGTTGCATTGAGGGCGAGTATTAGGATCCCAAGGAGGGGAAGGACTCATCTGCCTTTGAAAGAAACGCTTTCGGTCGATGACTTTTTCAGTTTCTGCTATTGGAAATGGGTTATATCCCCCTACCCGGCTCTACGACAGATTTCTGAGAGTTAAAACTCCGGAGAAGTGGTAAGGAAGGGAAATGACGGTTGCTAGGTAAGAGTGGTCGTACCATAGTAGGACGTTTTGAGCAAGGGAGGTCGTACCTCACAAAAGTTTCATGTTTCAGATGTTTCCTGTTTCATATGTACTATACACTCCCCTCCCACACTCTGGCTCGACAGCAAAACTTTAGGTAAAAGTAGGAAAATTCTCGGGAAATTCTGGAAAAGCGGTAGAAAGTTGGGAAAATAGAAGAAAGTGGTAGGAAAGATGGGAAAGGAAGGAAGCGTAACATATTCGATTTCTTCCATTTCACATGGCACTATAAAACCGCGCCCCCCCCCCCTCGACAAGCCTCTATTGCAGCCGGAAACACGGGTCGGGGTTGTATCAACACCACTGAAAATGCGAACGGGGAGGGGCGGGTGGGGGAGGATGTCGTAATGAACTCGACCAAAACCCCCACGCAATGATGTCCCCGATCGTTCAGAAATTTAGTGACTGTTCAAATTTGATTTGATATGGCCTTAACACAGATTGCGTGGGCACAGCGGGGGAGCGAGGTATGGGAAAAAACGTTTTTATCCTCGCGAGCTGACCCCTGCCCGGAGCGATGTAAGTTTTCGTTGGCACCAAGCTAGTAGCCTGAACTGAACCCTCAAACGCGCTCGAGTTTGAGCAGCGTCAACTGCCACCACTCCATCTTGGCCCTCGGGTCATAATAAAATAGTCTTATACAAATTTAGGGAATTAAGTGATAAAATTTGCCTATGAAATTTTTATTCTCAATTTCCTTCATCGTAGTGGCAAGCTCGGTCGTTTTTTGTAAAAAATGTTAGTTTTTTGCAAAAAAAAACGTCTGCAGGGATTTTACAATGATGCTGAGCTATGCGCGGAAGTCAGGCCACCAGTGGGACTCGAACCCGCACCTCACCTTGACCGGGCGAGTACCCTGTGCATTGCGTGACCGGGGCCGCCCTTACTCTCTCAGCTCGACGGCTTTTACAGAAACAGCATGAATCATAAGATGGAACGCCTTCATAGAGTTCTCGCCTCACACTTCATCTTTCCCTCCCCTCTTCCTCTTACTTTCCCTAAACCCACTGAGTGGGAGGAATTTATTCGTACACACGATGATGACTCAATCTCCACAATGTTTCAATTTACTCATCACAAAGGCATTTCGTCATGGCCCCGTAGATTCAACATCTGAAACCTTACGTTCAAACTTACGTGAATGAAAGCGAAGACGGTTCCGATGAATAAAAGCTGCTCGTTCAGGCATCCCCAACTGGCACAAATCGCTCCAGCCACTGGAAGTGCCGGTGCAAAACTCACACCAATGAGTACACGAAGAGGAAATAACGCCATAAATCCTGAAAAGGACAGAAAGCGTACGATAAAACCCTCGATGAACACCCAGTTGGGCGCTTTCACTCACCGAACTGGGATAGGAATGGAAGTGCAGCTGTTAAAATTGCTGACATAGCTAGAGCAGCTGATAAAGTTCCTCGAGCCCCACACCATCTCACCAGGAAAATGGAAGGAATTAAGCCAATAAGGCAGCCTGCAGAGGACAGATTCAAGCAAGCGGGAGATTTTTAGATAAAAAGGAGGATCTCACCAAATCCTGGAGCTGCATAGAGGAGATATCGCATCAACTGGGTTTCGAATGACGGCTCAAAGCTGAAATTTGCAAGAGAACTTCTCAAATAAACATTCCGCGACAATCGCATGGGCGGAGACTAAAACGCTTGTCTCTGGTGCATCACTCCTCCCTACTATAGGTGAGTTACTCCTTCCTACCGTGATAGAAGAAGAGGTGTACCAACAAAGAGGGTAAGTGGTTGCGAGTCTCCGCCCATCCAATAATCGCGGAATTTTCCTCTAAGGACAAGCATACTATGTTATCTAGAACACCATGAAGTAATTCAAGAAACTGGAAGCTTCAGAGCATCCATTACTTTCAGAAACCTACATCGGTTCGTCTTTAGTATCGCCCATGTCCACCAAAGGGGATGGCTTCACGTCGTCTTCTCCACGGCCTTCCAATCGATCGATGGCCTTTTGGACCTCTATAATTTGGTAATGAAGATGGAATCGCAATATCGGAGAACAGCCATGTACCCATCAAAATCCTTCCCGCAGCGCTGGCAGGACAAGTCCTGTCACTGGAGGAAATCTTTTTTTGCAAAATAAGAGCCACTCTCAAAATTTCCCTCTACGGAACGGCTCTCCTCCCTACCACTACCTACCACCACAAGATGGTAGTGGTGACACCTCCCTATCACCACTACCATCTTCATAAATCTTCCAACAACTCACCACTTTGAGAGAGTTCCTTTTTCTTCCGTCTCCCCCGCCCCTCCCAAAAAAAACTACGGCAACGACTTTAGGTTGTTTAAAACTTACGGTAAACAGGAAAAACCGCGAGAACGATGTGGAACGAACCGAAAATTTTTCTCAAAACATTCCCTCCAGCGACAAATACACCTCCTCGCTGGTGATCCGCAACGGGGCGATCGCTGCACTAAGCGGTTGCCTCCCCCCCATCCGTGTTGACGCATCTTATGCATTTTCAAAACTCTTTGCCATGTACGAAAGAAAAATAAAATAGTAACGAACCATTCTTACAACATCCGAGGCCTGGTACTGCTGGCACGAGTAGTCGTGCGGTGAGATTCAGCAGCAACTGCGAATTTTGGCAAAAAACAATCTGTTTTTCTGTGATTTGACAATCGGCCGTTGTCGGTGAAGTTGTCGCTATTGGTTTTAGCAATTTCTGGAACGATTGGATGTCCTGAAAGTGCATGCAACTCGCTTAGATCGCACACGATTCACAAAGCTGTTGAGTGCGTTGCCGGTCTTGAATCACTTTTCGGGCGCTGCTTCGATGACGGGGGGGGGGCATTCTGCGACTAACCGCTGCCTTCACAGTTTCAGTTTACAAGTCTCACTCTTTAGGGCGTGGTGCGAGCCAACTTCGTCTAGCCACCTGGCGGAAAACCCGGTCAACTTGTAGAAGCTCATAGGAGAGCGGTTCATTGAGGAAGGGGTAGCTTTAGGTTCTCTCTGAGGAGGTCGCGAGGCGAGCGGGGGGTGACGAAAGAGCATTAGTGTAAATTGCCCCCCTCCCGGCGTTCAAAACTGTGCCATTCGCACCACAAAGTGAGCAGCGCAGTTCCCAATTACTCTTCAGAGATAACTTAACTAAAAGTGTTCTGCCCGCGCTAGCGGAAAAGCTGACGGAAACCGTCGGCCTTTGGACACCGATGCCCTTTTTCTCCTCAGATGCAGGAAAAATCCAGGGAGTCGAGAGGGCTGGGTTGGAGCGCGGCCAGGGTGGGGCTTTTCCAAGAATCTACGCCATGCTGCGCCCGCAAAGTTTGTGGAAAAGGCTGCTCAGAGAAAGGGCATTATGATTTCAAAAATCCCCGTCTCCTTCCTCATCTTTGGAAGCTTCTTCTAATTCGCGTGTGCCGAGCGTGAGCGAGCGTTCGAAGAAGCGTTCGCCCCTCACCTTACAGTTTTCCACGAAAGATTCCATACATAACGAATTCCGTTCGGCTCTATCGCAACATTCCTACACGCCAACCAAAAAAAGCGTTCGTGCAATAGAAGAGGCGGAAGTGAGCGATCTGTGAGAGAGGGGATTAGCCGAGGGTGAAGCGCAGTTTGCCGGCGACGGGAGTGGCGTGGGGGTTCCCAGACGATCGCATCGCTATTTCGATAGGGAGAGATTGTGGGCATAGCTCGGCACCAGCGAGTCTTTTTTCAAGAATGGTGGGGGAGGCCTGAAGCAGGGTGGATAACCTAGACGAAAGCGCGAGGTAAAGACAGCAAAGAAGTCTCGAAATTTCGCTTCCCTGCGAAAATAATTTGAGATACATTAGAGGAGAAGCGTGACTGGTAAGCTTGGCTAATTCAAGAACCGAGCCACTTTCAGCCTCTAAGAAGACATGAAATTGACAGGAAGGTTCAAACTCTCTTTGTTTGACTGAGTGCCTCTACTAGACTGGCAGCCATGCGATTCTACTTTTGTTGCAGAGACGGCCTTTGATATGCATTGTGGCCTATCACGCCAGAAGCCAAGCCGGGCCAAGTCGTTGTGTGCAAGTCCCCCAACGGCGACAATCTCCGGGCCACCTGGTTCACGATGCTCTGAGCGATAGAAGCATTCCGTCAGCTCGAGGGCCTGACGACAAGGTCCCCGCCCAGCACGCCGCCGTGTTGATGATTCGACAATTCTGGCGGTCGTGAGCGGAGGCGGGGTCGTTATTTGTCTTTGCTTGGAAAGAGGAACTTACCAGGAGAGTGTGTGAGCAGGAGCTAGCTATTTTCAGGTAGCTTAGAAAGAATGACATTTGAAATCCTGAACACCTGACGCCTCCCCCTTCTCCCCACTTCGACGGAAAATTTCGTTGGCCGTAAAAAAGTTCGGGGGAAAAAATGCGTAAGACATTGAAAAATCTAGGAAAAAGTGCGGTAGCCATGGTTGAGAAGAAATTGTATTTGAGCGATGGAAATAGGGGGGAGCGTCGTATTTTTCAGGAAATGTCACAATGCGAGGTGATGCCCTGGCGTCCGCCATGTTTGCCGCTACTTGCCAACTGACGATTCGCCTACACTTAAAACTTAAGCTCACTGAAGCTGAAGAATCCGTGCAAGTCATATGACTTTGCTCCGGCCGGCTCTTACTCGGAGCCATGTTCAACAAAACTGCGTTTGGTGCTGGGGTAACATTACAAGCGGAAGAAAGTGAAAGCTCAAAAATATCATATTTTTCCCTAGGTTCGATCAAATAGACTGGTGCACTCCGGGCGTTCCTGCTCAAATTCGTATTTCGCCACTAAATTCCAATGTACTACTTTTTATTATAGTCGTTGGCAACATTATTCCTTGGAAAGAAAACAAAAACTGGGAAAAAAGGATTTGCTCTCAGAAGGGGTCGTACAACGGCTATGAAATAGAAGAGAATGCACATCAAGGGTTTGGTTTAGAGAAAATCAGAACTTCTATATGTCACCGCTTTGCCGACGCTCACCGTCAATTATCATGCAACTTCTCCTTTATGCGCCCTACTGCCGCTATTAAACGATATCTTAGCCGAGTTGCAAAAAATCGCGCGACATTGAAAAAAAAATACATTTCAGGTCTATATGATAGTGAAAAATAGAAGAAGAGTAATATATGGCCATAAACGTCTGGAAAGCACTCACCACCCTTGTCTTCCATAGAACCCGGAGAAGGTGGCTTCCAGCGTCCCATCTTCCCATGCATTGCTCTCGGTCGTGCGATCTGTGAAATTAATTAAAGCAGTAATCTTCTCAGAGAGACGGTTAAATTAAAAATAAAGATAAATTGCGCCACTGTACGCACTTGCGAAGCCTTTTGGAAGGGGCAATCTACACTTACGGCTAAATCTTTCGCCAGCTCCTGATTATACATCCAAGCTCATCAAGAATTTCACAGGCTCCACAAGTCATCGGCGAGTGATGAGATTTAACCAGCAAATCCCCGCCCAGCAAACAGCTTATATGAAGGAAATAATGGTGCATATAAAACCCAAAGCGGACACGGTGCGAAGCGTGAGATTCCACATCTTCCTTTACCACGTCAACTAACAAGTATTGTGGTTAGCTGACTAACTAGTGTGATTCGAACCGCAAGTGCAACACTTCCGCGATAGAAGTCACTTAGCGTCCTACTGCAATGCAGTTACAGTGCTGTCATCTCTCCGCCACGATGTCGCAAAGAAAACCTAAAGTCCTCAAACCTCCTGCCACACAGCGCACAATATCGGTATGTAAATTGCCGGTGTCAATTATGCCCCTCACAAGTTCCTCACCTCAGCCCCTCCCTTTCGCCATCCTACCTTCTACCTTCCCTAATTCCTTCTGCTCTCTACCGACCCTCCAAGGATTTTCCAGTTCGTTCCAGAAAAAAAATTGGCGTCGACCAGTAAGTGATTGAGAGGGGGGCGAGCGATGAGGGCAGGGATCGTTACCAGTTGACTATCAAAATCAGCTAACGGAAATGCTAGTTGTATAGCAGTTCTTCGGGGAAACCAGGACCAGGAGAGGTGTAATATATGGTAAACATGAAACGGTAAAAATTGCGAAAAGTCAGCAGCTGAAAAAATTTATTGTGGCTCGAAAAAATTTCGTCAGGGCCGGATTTGGCCTGCTCCCAACCATTTACGCCCCTGGTGGCTTTCCCCCAACGATACTGTACCCTAACAGGGAAGCGCGAGGTTGGCTTCCAGCTTCGACTGCCACGTCAAAGTCGTTTTGCCCTTAGCTCAGAATCTTTACTCGAGACAACTCCACAAAAATTTACACGGATTGCCGAAAAAAAAGCCAGAAATGCTGGAATAATCCGTGAAAAGCCAAACCAACCGTGCCAAATAGTATACTCGTGCAAACTGTCCAATGATGGTACTGGTCGTAGTTCTGTCGATAGTTCTGGATCGAGTATAGCGGTTAAATTGAATAGTATAAGGTTAGTGAACAGAATAGATACACAGGCCGACGTCAGCACCAATACCAAGTGCCGCACGTTGTTCGCCATACAACAGCAGCACAACGGGCCGCGGCCCATCTGAAATTGCACACTCATTTGTAAGCTGAACCGAAAAAGAATGGCCATATGGTAAAACGACGACGGACATTCGAAAGAAGAATGAAAAACGACAAATTTATAACCAGGGGCAGCAATGTGTGTAGCGCTCGTCAACCTATATAGCTTAATGGGTCCTAACGCATGGGGGACATTTCGCTGAACCTCCGTATCCCTTCTCTCTACTCCAAGGGTTTCAGGATATCTGCCAACCGCGGAGCCTCCTTTTTTTCTTCCTCCTTCCTTCTTTTTCTTTCTTCCTTGTCTCATTCTACTTCTTTATTTCCCTTCCTCTATATGCTCGAACAGAAGAAGAGAAAACACACAGCGCCAGAGCATCCGGTTGACAGATATCTTGCTAATAATCGCACCCGGTGCGTAAGTGAGGAGCAGCTAATGGATACCTTGCTTCCTCTGCGAAACTCCCCCTAGACGACTCTGGTCGTCTGCGCCTGGTCGTCTGCGCTCTAAGCCTAAGGCCTTAAGGGGAGAGACACATATACTTGGCCTAGAACCACCCCCCTCTGTCCGCTCCCCAAGCTTCCGTTAGCGTCACGTAATGAGCTCAAAAAAGAAAAAACTGATATAAGTGTTTATGCCGAATATAGTGCTGCCATAAGTGGAAAGACTAATTTCTGGACGAAAGAGAGCATTAGCATTAGAAAATCAGGCTGAACGGAAGGCCAGAATTCGGGAAATAGCCTGTCCTCGTGGTGAGTGAGGGTCAGCGCCCATGGTGCCGATCCATTGCGATTTCGCGATAATCGCGTTACTAGGCTTAAGGGTTACTTGTCGATCTTGCCATGTCGGCGATGCGAGATGCGTCGCTTCGCAACCGGGTAACGTCACTGATTCCATTCACATTTCCGCTTGAATCTAACTAGGAGCGTGAGTAATGGACTTTGGAACCGATCTCTGTGAAGAAAAAACAAAAGTAGTGAGGATTTGGCTCCACAACTAGCTCAAGAATCGACTGCATCGGCGGATCGCATGTGATATCGCCTCAATCGTCCGTCAACTGCTGAACCCACCCCAGAATTCAGATTGCTGGACGAAGGCATAATTGCGCTGGATCTTTTCACCTTCATATATGGCAATTACAGGAACTCTTATCTACTGCTGCCAATGTGAGACGGGAAATTGATCGCTCTCTTCCTCTGCGCGTCAACCGGGGGTGACGCAGACGACTAGAGT